GTTTACTGCAAGGGTGTAAGATAAGATAAGATAATTCTTGCATTAAGAATTTGTCCTTTTGCATACTCCAGCCCACTCTCCATGAGACACAGACAGGGAGAGAGCTTTGGGATCAGAGCGCAGGGTCAGTGCCTGCCTGCCCTCACACCTAAAGAAGACTATTTTACATTTCTTTGTGCGGTTCATAGTGCAATTAACCCTTGCTAGTACCTTTGCGGCCTTTTGAAAGTCTGTGCTGTCCTTTGAAAGCGAGATGATCTCTGGTTCTTTAACAGATAATGTGAAAGACACACGAATCAAAACCTGTTTTTATAGCTTTTAAAGTTGTGCAATGTGTAGAAAGTAACACATAATTATATCTTATATATGAAAAATACATAATATAGCACCCAAACAAAGGCAAATGTGTTTTTAATAAAATGTTTTTTATTCATTCATAATCCAACTCACATAACTCACATTCCCGAATGCCTGAATAAGAGGACAAGACATTTGTTTGAGCATCACATCTTACCAAGTACTAGAATATTTCATATATCTCCTAAATCCTATTTATCATTTCTGGCTTTCAGCCTTCACAGCTCCAAGCAGATCTCTGGGTGGCACTTGTGTTGAATTAGATGTTACTGAAATGGTAGCATAATTTTAATTTTTAGTCCAGTAATCATATTTCCTGAAAATACAACATATTTTATATGTCATATAAAATGCCTAGCTAATGTTTAAAATGTAACGTGGATATACAGTACTGTTTCTTGAAAAAAGGATTGTATGCTAAGAAATGGATCAGATCATGCTTCTTCAATGTGCCTGGTTTCTCGGAAATTCTCCAAAAAAAAGAATAGTCATGGAGTAACTATAAACTATCCAAAACAACTGAAATTGTTAATATTGCAGTTTGCCAATTATTGTTGAGATATGCATCTCTCAAAATATAACATTTTAATATTTTAATGATAGCTTACAAAACAGGGGTGTAAATTATTGCATGTAGATGAAGGCAGTCTGTGGCAAACATTAACAAGACACATCCATCTCAAATAATGAAGGTGAAGGCAAACAGGAAGTCCAAGAAAGCCATAAATCTTTACTGTTTATTTACTTTATAATGCCACTGTATGGATATTGCTACATATTATTTCACAGAATTCTTTAATATTTGTGGAATGTGGGGAAATTTAGTTTTTTTGTCCTTGTATTCCACACATCCACATGCTGTGCTTGGTGAGGGTGATTATATAGTAATAAGTTTTCTAATTAATATTTATCCACAATACAGGTACAGGCACGTAACTCCAGATTCAGAAACAGCTTCTTCCCACAAGCTGTCAGATTGTTGAATAGTACCTCTACCACTGACTCACTCTTTTTTAGTATTTTTACACTGTTTTCACTGACTTTTATTTAAGTTGTGTGTTATTTAACTTTGTTGTTGATGCTGCTTCTGTTCTGTATTTAAGTTTATGTTTCCTTAGTGTCTTTGTATTGGAGCATGCATGCAAATAAGCGTTTCATTATACTTATTCATGACAAATAAACTGATCTGAGCAATGTCTAATAATTCAATTATTGTTATTCAGTTTTGTGACACATCTCAGTTGGAGTTGTGCTAGCAGTGTGGTTACAACACCCTGTCTCAACAATGTAATCGTTGTATTAAATGAAATTGTTGGTCACTAGAATGTATACAGTATGACTAATGCAGTAAAGCACTAATGGGGTGAACGTAATGCTTCATGTAAGAGCACGCTGCTCTATAATTGTCCTTGTGGATCCACAAGCACAGATGTGTAATTCATGTCTTGTGTTCTTATTTTGTCTGCTAGATTTCATTAGCTATTTGTTTTCTTCCTAAATTACATTTGCACTTGTGATGTTCTGTTCGTTCCTTGCTTTATAACTGTCTTTTAATGGCTTTTAGTTGTGCTTCCTTAGTTTTTCTCCTTTCCTTTACAGTCAAGCCCTCCTGCCTGTACAGAAGACAGTCATGAATTCGTTTTTTATACTTCGCTCTTCATTGTGTGATGTGGCAGAGCAGTGTCATGTCAACCACTGGTTTTGTTAACCGTACTATAAAAATCTACAGTGAAATAATAACACATTAGGTACCAAAGTGAGGATTCTCACAATCCCGAATGTGTATTACTTCTCAAAGTTTTGACCTTAGAGATTGTCTAAATGTGGGTTCTGTGCTATGTAGCCTCACTCTGAACATTTCTTGTAGTGTGTATTGTTTAATTTGTAATAATCAAAATCAAATACAATGAGAAAGTTAAAAAATGACTCTCATAATCATGTGCCCATTTAAAATGTGCTAAATAGCAAAATAGTTGATTTGTCATATTAATTTGAGATATTCTAAACAGGTTTTTTTGGCCACAAATAAGCTGATCTTCATCTGTGGAAACCATTCAAATGACGTCGGTGACCTGACCCATTCAAATCACACA